CAGTTCATACCACACACTCTCTCTCTCTTCAAACTTGAAATACTTACGGCTCTACAAATGAGCAGAATCTGCATGAAAAGCCCCAATTTTTCAGCAGGCCATCTGCTATCATTCTTCGAGGTAGATATTATCATCTTTTATTTATACAATGAAGAAATCAAGGCTTAAAGAAGAGAATTACTTAGTATATATCTGATATTTTTAGCTGTATTATAACAAATATAGTAATACATATTATAATATTGAATATTATAATGAATATAATAATACAGCTAAAAATGGCAGAGCCAAAATGCAAACATAGATTTGACTTCCAAGTCTGCATATTTAGCAACTATCTAGAGCTGCCTCTTATCCTCAGTTTGGTCCTTCCCCACATGAACAGTCGAGGTCCTAAAATTCCTTCTTTGTGATGTGCAATTTATCAGCTATATGAGATAACATTTGGCTTTAATATTCTCATCTTAGATGACACCAATGCCACATTCACCTCAAGTAGTCACTTCCTAGCATTTTACCAAGAGCCTACAGACCAAGATTCTGTCCCTACTTTATCCCATCACTAGCTAGGTGACCTTGGGTGGGGTCTTCAGATTGGGGAAGACTGTGCACTTAAAGCAGGAACAGGATTAGGTGTAATCTTCTGGGGGTTAAGATCTCTCAAAAACCTGGTAACATTTTATTTAAGGTGAATTCTCAGATCATAAATATATTTGTATCATAATATAAAATCAAAATTTAAACTAAAGGAGTAATAAGTCAATAAAATCTCCCTTCCCTGCAGGCTGGGGTTGTGGCTCAGTGGCACAACGTTTGTCTAGCATGTGTGAGGCACTGGGTTCAATCATCATTATGACATATAAATAAAATAAAAGGGGCTGGGGCTGGGGTTCAGCAGTAGAGCACTTGCCTCGTACATGTGAGGCACTGGGTTCAATACTCAGCACCACATAAAAATAAATAAAAGATATTGTGTCCATCTACAATTAAAAAAAAAATTTAAAAAGTATTGTGTCTATCTACAACGAAGAATATTTAAAAAAAAAAAAAATCTCCCATTCCCTGCCACTGTACTAAGTGAAACCTAACATCATAAGTTACAGGAAAAGGAAACTACCAAAAATGTCTTAAATAGTTCCTATTATCTTGTGAGATTTAATATCAATCCCAAGAGTTCCCTAAATTCACAAGACTTAGAGAATTCTTCTAAGAACAGCAACATTTTCAGTTTATCAAAATGAACTGTCAATGGACTGTCCAGACATAGAAACATAAAAACAGTTTGGGCTTTAACCAGCACAATGCCACCAATTAAAAGAGAATTAATTAGTTAATAGGCAAAGCAGCAAGGAATTAAAATAACTGTCCTGAGAGGGCTATAAAATCAATTTGACTTCTCAGTCAAGAGAAGAATGTGAATAGTTATTTAGTAAATGTAAAATGTACATAGAACCACACCTCTATTTCACAGTAATTGAAAAGCAGTGATAAGAGGCAGGTCTATATATAAAAAATTTTTTTTAAAGAGCAGGGTGTGGGGCTGGAGATGTGGCTCAAGAGGTAGCGCGCTTTTTAAAAAAACTTTGTACCAGTATTACTTAAAAAAAAAATCACTTATTACTAAACTGTACAAGATCAGGATGATACAGAATACCCATGGATATCTGTTAATATGGTGGCAATGATTATCAGGTGAAATGTGGTACCATTATACACAGTATGTCAATTCTTAACTTTTTACAAACCCTTTTGTGAATCTCTCAAACTCTACTCAGAAATGTCCATTAAGGTCTTGTCTATAATTTATTTATTTTTTAAAATTTATTTATTTATTTTTTATTTATATATAACAGTGGAATGCTTTACAATTCTTATTACATATATAGAACTCAATTTTTCATACCTCTGGTTGTATACATAGTATACTCACACCAATTCGTGTCTCCAAACATGTACTTTGGATAATAATAATCATCACATTCAACCATCATTAATTACCCCATGTCCCCTCCCTTTACTTCCCCGCCCCCATCAGAGTTCATCTATTCCTCCCATGCTCCTTCTCCCTATCCCACTATGAATCAGCTTCCTTATATCAAATAAAACATTCAGTATTTGATTTGGGGGGATTGGCTAACTTTTCTTAGCATTATGTTCTCTAACTCCATCCATTTACCTGCAAATACCATGATTTTACTCTCTTTTATTGCTGAATAATATTCCATTGTGTATATATGCCTATAATTTAAAAGGCTACAGATTGGGCTGGGGTTGTGACTCAGTGGTAGAATGCTCACCTAGCACATGAGAGGCCCTGGGTTCAATTGTCAGCACTACATAAAAATACATAAAATGTTGTGTCTGGCTACAACTAAAAAATAAAGACTTAAAAAACAAAAAGGCTATAGACCTCATGAAGTCTTTGTTTAGGTGCCTCCTGATAAGAATCCTAGGAATGAAAGAAGCTCTAGACAGCTTCTTAGGAAATATGGCTTCTATTTGTGGTCCCTTACCTTCCTACCAAAATGTAGTCAAATTTAACCCGTTTGGATCAGTTTCCTCATCTGATGAAGATGATATTTTTCTTTTTAAGGGCTGAATAATATTCCATTTCATTTAAACATATTTTCTTTATCTGCTAAGTGTCATTTAGAGTATTCCCATCTTTTGGCTATGCATGGGCTTTTTTTTAACAATAACTATATATGCATGGGGTACAATGTGATGTTTTGATATATATATATATATATATATATAAATGTATTATCGAAAAGATTAATCAAGTAACTTAACATGGCATCACTTTACCTACTTATTTTTTGTGATAAGAACATTTAAAATCTAATCTTTCCACAATTATTATCTGACCCATGCTAAAACATAAGGATATTATGCTAGGTGAAAGAAGTCAGACATAGAAGGACAAATACTGAATGATTCTCACTAGAACTGGAAAATTCTTGGAGGTAGAAAGTAGAACAGAGTTTACTAAGGGCTGGGGAAAGAGACTAAAAGAGAAGCTTTATGGGTGTAGTGTTTTGGTTTGGGGTTATGAAAAAGTTCTGGAAATGGATAGCGGTGATGGTTAAACATCGCACACCTTAAAATGATTAAAAGACTTAAATTTTATGGTATATGAATACACACACAAAAAAAAACATAGGTAGTAGCCAAAAAAAAAAAAAAACCTGTTTAAAATTCTAGCAAAGACTGCCAGTACCACAGTAAGATGGAGGGATTTGGAGAATCATCTCCTTATCATTTCTTAATTGCTAGCTGTGACTCAGCACTTTTTCTAGGCTTCAGAGCAATAACAGTTCAGAATAATTCAAATTAAGAGCTATTCTTGCAGCAAGATGCTCATACTCTCCTATCAAAGTCCTCTACTTGGAGATTTCTCAAGTTGGTGTTCCCTTACCACTCTCCCTTAAAAAGAAAAAACTGGTTTTTCCACATTTAACAGGGCAGTACTTTAAAGTAAGCAAAAATTCTCCAAGAATAAACATACTCTAGTTTTCTTAAAGCTGTGCTGCAATAACAGTCTTGTGACATCCCCTTCTAAGCATTATAACGAAGCTGTTGTAATCACTGTTTCCCCATTTTTGGACGGCAATCCTTAACCAACTCCGCTTCCCAGAAAGCATTCTGAGCTATAAAATCAAATTTAGAGGAAGTGCATTTGAACTTCACAACAGTATACACAGTTAATTGTTTCATCTTCTGGAACAATACCTCCCTACCTCCCTTCCTGAGACCATGAGGCAAACAGCAGAATGAATCCAATCTCTGGCCAGATGGGAAGTACGAAGGAGTGGAACGTATCACTCTCTGGAGTACTGTCACACGGAAGCTCAGGTATCCAAAGCTCATTTGAGATAAAGAAAGCTCCCCCTACCACCATTGTATCTGTAGCACCCATCAGAAAGCTGTCTGCAAAGAAGCTTCCATCTGGCTTGACTGAGAAAGTTTGAAAAATGAAAAAAGAAAAAACTGTTTTTATAACTGTAAGTAGCATTACACTTTGAGATGTCTTCACAGTCCTTCCACACACTACCTTCTTCACACACTGCTAACAATGATAAAATATAAAATTTAACCAAATTGAATCTGGCATGAGCAAATATCTGAGAATTTGGGAAAACTGTCTCATTTTAGAAGGGTCCTTCAATCATTAAAGAACACGCATGGTTTATTCTTGTTCGGATAATGTGGTAGAAAATATGATACGCATATAACTAATAGAAAATATATTAAATAACAGAACTTTCTTAAAACTTCTGACTTTTATAAATATTCCAATTAAAAAGTGTTGGCTGCTCCAATGTTATTATTTCCCTATTTATACAAGGAAAAAAATAAATAAACCAAACTCTTCAAATGTTTTGACTAACAACCATCCTCCAAAGGCCTCTTTCTTTAAAGAGTCAGATCAGAAGTGAAACGATCAGAGCCAGAGACAAACAGGATTTCCTACTGCATGATTCCTAAACAACTCAGCCAGCTTTTTACTGATATTCATATTAAATTTATTCACAGAAATTACATTCAAACCAAAATTCAATTGTTTATAATATTTTCTATAAGCAGTTATAATATGAAAGTAATACTTTTGACTAATCTTTCAAGTCTTAAGATATACCAGGAAAAAAAAAAAGTGGATTAGGGAAACTTTCCTCTTATACAAAACCAAGATGAACCCTATACATTGGTAATGCTCTGTTACCCACAGAGAAAAGATTAATTCTGAGTGTCTGGTAAAATGTAAGAGGTAAGAAGCAGGGAGGCAGGGGAGAAAATGGCAATGACTTACGTTTGTGTCCCTCAGATATTGAAGCAGTCAGCAGAAACAAGCTTTCAAACCTCCAGGAGAGGGCAAGACACAGGGCTGAGGTGGTAATTCATGGCAAGCTCACAGGCAGATGCCAAGTGGGTGGTACCATTATGAATCAGGAGGTGGAGCTGGCAATGGATGTGGGGAGGGAGAGAGAATAAGCACTCACTCAGTTAGAAGCTGGTGTAGCTGGTGATAACCTCTCTCCAAGGCCAAGCTCACAGGTGTTGCCCCTTCCTGGTTGTGGATGCTGAGAGCTCCTCGGCCACCCGGCTTCTGCAACAGGAACCATGTCAACCGCAGCAGTCCCAGCCGCACAGCAAAATGCATCAATGTCTCCCGGGGGCCACCATCTAAATTGGGAGAACATGAAAATAAGTAAGAATATCAGAAGGGGAAAAAAAAGAAAAGAACAACAGGACAAGCAAACAAACAAAAGACAAGTAAACACCACTATCTCCAAGTGCCTGATATTTTGAAGGTAAGCTATAGCACACAGCATGAAGACCTTTATTGAGGTCAAGTAGAATCGTCCCCAAGTAAAGACAAAAGAAAGCTAGAAAAAAGTATGGGAAGTAAAATCTTACATAGGAGACGTTCCCACAAAAAGAAATCAAGTTCTTTCTGTATTTTAACATTTGTTCAACCAATTTCACAATGAGGTTTATAAAGATGACATCACACATGTTCTTTGCCTTTAAAAATACAAATAAATAATAAAGACAGTCACACAAGATGGGACACAAGGGGAATAGCTGTTAGGACTTAGATGGATGTATCATAAAGGTATAATTACTTTTGAAAAGAACACCCAGACAAGAGTTGGCTAGTTAAACACTAAAAACAGGTTCTACTTGTTAAGTACACACAGGTCTTTTTATTCCCTCACATTAAGGGCACATGAAACGGCTGGCACCGCCAGCTTTTTGTTTGTTTGCATGTTTAATATGAAAAATAAATGCATCTGCGGGCATAAAAAGACAGACAATACGCTAATAACTTCAGAAAGAAAAACACGTGCTTGGGGTTCTTTCACTTGAAACGAAGGCTCCTTCTTGGTATGAGTCACTATGAAAACGGTGGAATAAGCAAGGACTTTGGAGTCAGACAATTCTGGGTTCAAACCTGGTAGTTACCAGGCATGATTCATGTGCCTCTCTGAACCTCACTTTCTTCATTCCTAGAGTAGTAGACCATCTTTCAGAGATGTTGTTACAAATGAGAGGAGGCAGGTGAAATGTTAGTCTAATGACTGGCTGCAGCATGTACTCATTAAATGTCAGTTCTCCTTCTCCCTGCTCTCTGCCCAGTCCTCCTAGACGTCAAGTCACTTTCTGGGTTCACTAGCAACACCCTCTTCCTCGGTCATGCTCTTGACAGGACATAAAGCCACTTCAGGGCTACTGAATGTCACCCCAAGAGGCTGTGCATTACTCAACTCCAGGGTTGGGCCTGCCTTCTTCCTCATGTCTTAGCTTTCACATCTCATTCTCCTGGCTTCCTTTGGGCCTCAACTTCTTCACCGAGCCCTGGGTTCAATCCCAAGTACAGGGGGGAAAAAAAGTTGATGCCCCATTACATGTGCAAGTACAAACTGTAATAATCAACACATCTTGAGGAGGTGGGTGGCAAGGACAGAAAGAACTCTCACAAAAAAATCAAACATTGTCATCTGACTTCTGCTTTACAGTCGCTCACAAGCATTCTGACATTCCTATCAAAAACTAAGGAACGAATGAGGCACTGACTGACCAGGAAATGTGACAGTTTTCAGAGCTGGTTAATTCCAGCCTTAAAGGGACATTAATACGTCCTTAAAGTAGCTTTCTCCCCTCCCTCCTACCATTTTTAGTCCCTTATCTACTCCAAGTCAGTTCAGACTTTGAGTCACAGAATTTCAACAATAAGGCCGCATTCTTGCTCAGAACCTGGCACCCTGATCCCTACACTAATCCTCCTCTAGTCTCCTTCTGAAGTTTTCAGTAGTAGGTGCCACATCTGCTTTTAGCTAGCCTCATTCTGCAAACAACAGAATGAAAAAAAGTAATATGCAGTAAGGAACTGCTACATTCCATTTAGTGGGATATATAGTTTATAGCAACATTTTCCCTTCTATTCTCACAATAACCTCATATGGTCTCACTGTCTTAATTTTGCAAATGAACATAAGTTCACAAAATTAATAGCTTGCCCACAACCAAAATGAAAATTTGAAAATTCTTCTATGACATGCATTATATATGCAGCTTATTTAAATGTTCCCTTCTTCATTTTCCACACATTATTTTATCTTCACATAAGTCATCTGAATTAGGTTTGTAGAAGAGGTAGCCAAGGTACAAAGGAATAAACAAATTAACATATAAGTGGAATTTCTCCTAGTCTGTATTGTTTTAAGGGCATAAAAGCCCCACTCCTTGGTATTTTCCCAAAAGACTTAAACTCCACATACTATAGCAACACTGCCACTTCCGTGTTTATAGCAGCACATTCACAATAATTATGAAATCAACCCAGATGCCTGTCAATAAATGAAAGGATTAAGAAATTGTGGTGTATACAAACATACACAAATGGAGTTCTACTCAGCCATAAAAAAGAATTAAATTGGGGCTGGGGTTTTAGCTCAGCAGCAGAGTGCTTGCCTGGCACACGTTGAAGCACTGGGTTTGATCCTCATCACCACATAAAAGTAAATAAATAAAAGTATTGTGTCCATCTTAAAAAAAAAAAAAGAATTAAATTATGTCATTTGCTGGTAAATGGATGAAAATGAAGAATGTGATGCTAAATGAAATAAACCAAACTCATAAACTCAAAGGTTAAATGTTCTCTCACATGCGGAAGCTAGGTAAAATAAAGGAAACAGTGGGAAGAAGATAGGATATTATAAAGAACTGATCAAATAGAAATTAATAGATAAGCAAAAAGTCAAGTAGATTAAAAAAAACAGGAGAGGGGAAGGAGGATGGGAGGAAAGGGGGAGAATCATCAACTGAAATCAATTTCCATGCATGTATGAGGTTGTTGGAATGAACCCAACTACTATGTATAACTTTAAAGCTCTAATTTTTTAAAAAAAGTATAGAAACTTTTACCCAAATTACTGTCTCTAATACTGTTTTTTGTTCCTTCTGTCTCAAACTGCAGATCACCAATAACTCATGATAAATCCCCAATTCTCTATTCTCGGTTTCTGTATTTTCTCTTTCATGATTTGTGATTATTACCCTGTATTCTGAGAGCTACTCAACCTTTCTTTCCTGATCATTAACTGAATTTCCAACAAGCTCAATTGAGTTCTTCATCCCAATGTGAATTTAATTATGCCCTGGGATTCTGGGTGTCTTTGCAGCATTTCTACCAACTCCCTCTCCATCTATGCCTTTCCGATAGCTTCTTTTGCAGATGTAATTAATTAAAGCTCTTTTATCAATTGATTTCATAAGGGACATTTATCCTGGTAAACATGGAGTAAGACCTGAGTGAATCAGTTAGAATTCTTTAAAAGTGGAGCTTAAAAAAAAAAAAAAAAAAGATAAAATAAAAGCAGGGCTTAGTTTTACCCTGGAGTAAGGACCTTGTCTATGGAGGACACCTTCAGCCTATGCCAATGCCTATGGGATTCCACTCTGCTCAGAATCTCTCTTTTCTGAGGACCCAAGGACAATAGGTTTGGCCCATGTTGGTGGATTTGTCCTTGTCCACTTATTTAGCCAGATTCCCCAGCTATTCATGAATCTTTAAATGTTTATTTCCCCTTCAGTTTTCCTTTTCTAGTTGAACCCTGACTCCTGAAACCTACATCTTGTTGCTTCTTTATCTTAACACTATAAACAGTCTGATTTCTTTGATCTTTTAAGACAAATGAAAAGTGTCTTCTAAATTTTGCTTTGGTTTCTTAAAGAAAACCATTCTCACAGTATTCCATCTGAATACTCATATTTTTTTCTTTATACCGAATGGTATTTCACTGGATCCATGCTGGCAGGTTATCCTGTTTAGGCCTCTCTGAAGGCCTAGCTTTTCTGTACAGAATGGGATTCCAAAATCACCATTCATTCTTACTATTCTGGACTGCCTCATAAATAAACTTAAAGTCTCATACAATGCAGGAATTCTCACACTAAAAAGTAAAAACACTTTTAACTTGACAGTGTGACAAAAGGAACTTTTAGAAAACAAGACTTATAACCCTGTGACAAAATGAAGGTTTGAGAGGCAACAAAACCTTTTACAGCTTACCCTGGTTGCTACAGGGCACTGCTTGTCTTGGAGTCAGTAGTTATTAATTCTTTGCCAAGGAAAAAATCCATTACCAGTCTTTTTATATTTTACTGTTTTCTTCTTTAACAGTGATGATAGGTGAAAAAATTGACAAGTACTACCAGTGCAGCTGAGGAAAACCTTCCATGAAAAGCTATCCCATACTCTAAAAAGACTGCTGGAACTAAAGCACCAAAAGATTAAGGTGGAGGTTCTACTAACCAAAATCAGACATGTAGAAGTGGGAATGCACAGACTCCTCAGAGCAGTCTTTCTTAAACCTGTCATCTTTCTGTCCACCCAATTCTCTCATTGTGGGGAAGATTTCCACCCCCAAAGATGACTACATCTTTTTTTCACTTAGTTATACAATAACATTACTAAGTAAGAAGGAACACTTTCCCTGGGCTATTTCTCTTTGATTCCTCTAGATCAAGTCTTCAATGGGCCCACTCTAAACTACCTGAGAGTCAAGTTGATTGCTACTACACAGAGGTCTCAAATGAGAAACCATTCCATTCACTATTCTCATTAACCGCGGAGGCAATGAAAAACTGAAACAACTAAATGAGACTTGGAAAACTCAGAAAATGAGAACACTCTTGTCCCCCAATCATCCTCCCTCTCTCTATAAAGAATAATCTTTATTATCTGCATTTAAGGCAGATCTGTGACCAAAAGTATAGTATAGGGGCTTCTTTATATAACTAGGGATTGGGAAACACTTGGAAGAATTAAAATGGATAAACTCACTCTTCCTCTAGTTGAAAGTAAGGATTAACATGAGCTCTGAGTCCAGTAATACAGTTTCATTTTGCTTTGAAGAGTCTTTTAGGGCTGTCTTGTTTCATCCTTTCAAAGAACATACCACCATCCATTGTCATGGCTTATCAGTGTTTTGTGTGTCTAAAAGGTTACTGGATGTTGGTCACAATATGTTTGAAATGACTACCCTGGAAACCAGCACACACTATCAAACTATACTTTCCTCTATTTTATAGTAAGGAAACTGAGTAATAGTGATATGGTATTTTCCAAAAACTATGGCAATAAAACCAGGATGTAAACAGTCTGATTCCAATACCCATGTTCTTTCCATTTTAAAATATCACATCTAAACCAAGACTTCTTAATTCCATGTTCACAACTAAAGTTCAGAGAGACTGTAAAAATTAGTACATGTTAATGCTTGCAGGAAGACACCTATGTGTATTTTTTTTCCTGAGGAGAAATCTGAGCTATTTTCAAAGGAGTCACTTACCTGAAAAAAAAAGCCAAAAAGCACTGCATCTCAACAATTAAAGAGGATTAGCCATAAATCTTACATGATTCCTTTGTCTGTGTATTAGGTTGGGACATCCGTAAATATCCCAGCCTTCAACAGCAAGTAGTTCTCTTATGTAATGAGGTACTCTATTTACCTGTATTTTCCCAGGCACCAAGCTTACTTCATACCTTTTTCTTTTAAATACCCAAAGTACAAGTGACTGATGTGAGCAGATTATCCCATTAGTTTCATCCCTCAATAGCAAGCATGATTAACTCTTTAAATGGTGTTACTCTGCCCTGATCACACAAGTGCAGTGTTCCTAGATTCCAATTCACAACTAAGAGAACAATCTAAACTGCAAGGTACATGGAGCACTTGAAAGCCGATTCCTGATCCTAGCTGGACTGGCAGTTCTATCAAGTTCTTTGTGTACATTTCATATTGAAAGTATTCAACCTAACTTGTTTAAAATAATTTAGTAACAAAAATAATTAAACGTATGTAAAATAAAATAACTTTTAGAAGGTTTACAATTCTATGAATTTTACCACATATACTCTTTTTATTTATTTATTTTTTAATTATACATAACAGTAGAATACATTTTGGCGTAATTATACAAGCATGGAATATATTCTATCTACTTCAGACCCAAGTACCTCTCCTTTCCCTTCCCTACCTTTGCTCTCTTCCTTCTATTGATCCTTCTGCCATTTGTCCATAGTTATTATATTTTTAATTAATTTCCTGTGGATGTACATGACTGTGAGATTCACTGTGGTGTACTCAAATATAACACATAGATTCTTATACCACTACCACCAACAAGATACAAAATAACTCCAATGCTCCTGAAGAATTCCCTCCTCATGATACTCCTTTACAACCAGACTTTTGCCCTAATCTCAACTCTGGTAACTACTGATGTCTTCTCAGTTACTTTAATGGTGCTTTTTCCAGAATGTCATGTAAGTACATAACTTTTGGAAAGTGACTTTTAGTTAGCACAATGCATTTAAAATGTGTCCAAGTTATTGCACATTATCAACAGTTTGTTCCTTTTTATTGCTGAGTAGTATTCTGATGTATAGATATATCACAGTTTGTTCACATATTCAGTCAGATACCTGGGTTATTGCTCCTTTTGGAGATTATGATTAATGCTGCTATAGACACATTTGTACACAGACTTTTTAGTGAATGTAAGTCCTCATTTCTCTAGGATAAAATGCCCCAAAGTGGGAATGCTGGATCTTACAGTAAACATACATTTAACGTTTTTTTTTTTTTTTTAATGCTGAACTTTTCCAGAGTTGCAGTTCTACTGTGCATTCCCACCAGCAGTTTATGAGAATGTACTAAATCCTTGCCAGCACTTAGCATTTTTAATCTTAACTATTCTAATATGTGTATAATGGTACTGTATTATGGTTTTCATCTGGAAATCCTGCAAGTATTCAAATTTTGTTTATTCTTTGCTGCCACTGCTTGAGCAATTTTGTACAACATAAAACTTTAGGAGTACATGGAAACTAAACAAAAAAATTAAAGATGGCCAGTTTCCTCCTATTAAAGACAAGGAAGCTAAGGTCCAGAGAAGAAAAGTGATATAGTCGAAGTTTAAGACCTCTGCTATTTCCAATAGTTCTTTTAATCTTTGTAACGTGAACAAATTAATTCCTGATCCTATTTTAAAAAAGAGAAAGCAAAACCATAAAAGTTCCATTAGCTCTAGAAATAATTAACACAGTTCTATTTAACTTGATACTGATTTGTGAAAGTCATTCCCACTTTAATACAGAAATGGCAGAAACTATAGGTTTTAGGGCATATCATTAGTTTTCTAATTAGGTACTCAAATACTTAGACCTCAAGATATTCTACTTAGTAAAGCAGAAGTTTCTTGGACGGTATATAAATTTAAAATTGGGGGTGTCTTCTTTCATGATTTTTATAGTCCAGACTTTTCCTTTATATATAACCTCGAGAAGCCTGACTTGGTAGCATCTGACAGTAGGCCTGATACAATTCCACTGGTTGATCACAGGCTTGACTGTTAAATTCCATGGACTTAAGAGACTCAGTGCTAGCAATACTTCTTCACAATTCTTTCCTGGAAGGAATAATCAACTTACCTGACAGGTCTGAGAGAGCAGGAATTGGGCATGCCTTGCTTAGTCCTATCTGGGCAATTCTCCTCAAGAATTGCTCACCTGTAGAAAGGGAGACTTCTGGTCTGCTGGCCCTACACAGCACAATAGTCAAAGATAGGTAGACTCTGAAGGCAGTGTGTGACTGTCCACTCTTCTAGAGATGACAGAGAAAGCCTCTGGCAAGCCTTTCTGGAAGCTGTGAGGTCAGTCTTCCAATCTTGTTTTCATATGTATTAAAGCAAACATTCTGATCTGTCTCTGTGAGACACCTAAATTTTTCATTGGATTTGCACTCAGCAGGGAAAGATGTTGTTATTTAGGGATCTCAGGTATATATTTCAGTAGAAAAAAATATTTGTGTAATTATAACATCTAATAGATGTTATCTGCTACAAAAGTAATTATGTGGGAAACCCCTTGTGATTCAGAAGACCTATGTATATACCAATTACATCAGTGTTTCTAAAAAGCAGAGGCCTTTCTTAAAGAATTTTTATATGGAAGGCCGATACACAAAATCAGTAAAAGTGAAACTACCCTGGTTAAGGAACTGTAGGTTTCTCAAAGCTTATCCCACTTTCATGTTCCCATGGCATACTCCTCAGTCCTCTTTTCCTCCAACTTTGTACAATCTTGAGAATTTCAGAACACAGTAAACCTGGTCTTGAATAATCAAACACCAAGCGGTTACTCTGCTATTGTTCTAATGAAAGGCAAACCTCTGCCTTTGTTTGAGAAGTGCTGGACCACTATCCATGTGGGTACCTTCTCTTGGGTCACTTCACTGGTAGGACAAGATTAACAGCTCAAAGAACTTTGAAAAGATGCCTTCAAGACTATTTTGCTACAGTAATTTTAAGGGAGAAGTACTTCGATATAATAACCATACAAAGGCAGTCCCATACAAAAACAGAAATGTTCTGAACTCAGTTTGTGGATCATGCAATTCTCACCATGCAAAGTCTGATCTGTCCCCAAAACATTCCACTCTGCTGGCAGCTTCAAGTGTCTGAATGCCAGTGCAACCTTCTCATCAAGGGAATTCACATCCCCAGATGGGGGTCCTGACCGGTCAAGAAAACGAGTGAAGTTCAGGGCCTGCTGATTTCCAGCACTGGTTGCCAGAAATTGAGCTGCGTCATATGCCTCATCCTGGACAAAATGGAAGTCTTCTTCAGCTACCACAAACACAGGCAGGCCCTCTTTGGAAGCACACAGCAGCACCTTCACTGTCTCACAGCAGTCATGACCTAAAGAAAGCACAGATGACCACGAAAATAGTATTAGACTCCCCTGATGAAAGAAGGACACCAGTGGGTCATCTTATTAATTCTTTTTTTTTTTATGACACACAAATTTTTCTCTTTCTAAAAGAAATCTCTTCTTCCTCTGAGCTCTAATAGTACATTTTTCATCAAATTTCTCAAAACTTGTTTTCAGAGCTGGGATATAGATCAATGGTAGAGCACTTACCTAGCATGCCTGATTCCCTGTTCATTCCCCGCACCATTAAAAGAAAGAAAGAAAAAAAAAAAAAGCAAAAGAAGCAGAGAAAGGGGATGGGGGGGAGAGAGGAGGGGAAGAGGAAGTACTAAGGATTGAAATGGGGAAAACTATGTTATGTGCATTTTATGACTATGTCAAATGAATTCCACTATTAAGTATAACTATTAAGAAAAACAAAGGACGAACTACATTTTCAGGTTTTTAAATTGTTACTTGAAAATATCAATGAGTTTCCCGTAACAACAAATAATTGTGTATCCCAGTTTTCACTATAACTACAAAATGGTATTAGTCATATAGTAGGCTGTTGAATATCAACTATTGCTGTTGAATTTTAAAAAATTTAAAAATGAACGTTCTGGGAATCTGTAAGGCCTAGCATATGATGGAAAAAAGTCAAATACCCACTAAGCTGAATTAGATTTGAAAACATAATTGGGAAAATTATCATTCACAGGAATATGGAAGGAATTTTACAGATTCCCCAGCATTTGTTTCACTATGACTACAAAGTAATAAATCAAACAACGAAGCACTTTAAAAAGTGCAAACCTACTTTATTTTACTTTAGCATTATTAGCAAAGCAAGGCCTAAAAAGTAAATAACAATATTTTTACTGTTTTCAGATAAACACTTTTTCCTCTCAACTACTAATGTGGTGAGAACTTCAATGGAATCATTTGGTTCCATATGAAAGTGTAATGCTGTGGATAAAAGCCCAGTTCAAGAGAAACAAACATGCTAAGGACTCTGTGGTATCCACTGTCCAGATAGGCAGGTACCTCATGAGCTCTGACTTCAGACAACAACCTATATGCTACCCCAAAGAGCCAAATTAGCAAAATTTAACAACACAATGTTTCTGTAGGTAAGGCATTCTTGGAGAATGAGACTTTCTTTCTAGACCTAATCATTCAAAATTAAATATTTCCAATATGCAGAATGCATTCAAGTAAACAGACACTGTCTTTTCTCAACTTTAAACAAAGATCTCAACTACCACAACTAAGTTGCTCCTACCATTATCACTCTTCTCTCATTATCCCACTCTGTGGTCCATGATTTGAGTTTCCATACCATAAGCACAGGCCAATACATATTTCAGACTCAAGACAAAACAAACTAAGATTTCTGCTGTCTTTGAAAGAGAACAATGTCCGCTGTCAATCACAATGGCAAGTTATGATTTTTCCACATACCTTCATCCTTGCAACAAAAGGAAAATCTCTCACTGCTATGTAATTTTAGGATGTTAACATGTACTAAGAATCTACTATATACCAGGTATCTGACAAGTAATTTTTTTCTACATGACAATTTTATAAGGCATATATTGTCTTCACTTTCTTTTCTTCTTTCTTTTGTATTGAGGATTGAACGCAGGGGTATTTTACCACTGAGCTACATACCCAGTTCTTTTAATTTTAAAACAGGATCTGCTAAGATGCAAAGGCTGACCTTAAATTTTTGATCTTCCTGCCCTGGCCTCCTTAGTCACTGGGATTATAGGTGTACACTACTCTGCCTGGCTTTCTTCACTTTCTTCACTTTATAGATGAGAAAATGGACACTTCCAAAATTAAAGGAACTTATGCATGGTTACACAGATACTAAGAAGTAGAATTCATTATTCAAAGTCAAGGATGATACCAAAGGACATGCCCTTTCACATCATGATGCAAGGGTATTGTGTCAAATTATCCATCAACAAAGGGGGTAAGGTAACAACTAAGCTCCTCCCTGAAAGGAGCCCGACACTTGCAAAGATAGGCCAGTATGACTAGTAATCAAGAATAACATGTTCACAAGTTGTAAAGATCAGTCTTCACACAAATGTTAATTCCAGAGGATATAAACACTGCCTTCTAAGTTTCTGTGAAGGATATAAAAAGTTAAAGCATCTCCTGCCCAATACGTGCATACACAAAAATATGTGCACACTCACTTCAATTCAATATATATATAGAATTTGTACCTTGAATATATTAAGTGAAATTAGAGAAAAACTTAATATTTCTTTAAAAGGTAGTCAGCCTAATTACAAAAGCATCCATATCAGCAGAAACTAGCCAACCAATCTAGGTAGTAGGTTTGTGTATTTCACTGGCAGAAAATATTTCTTTTAAAATATTCTATAATATCTCGCTCAGTTCTGTTCAATAACTAGTAGCTGGACAGCCACAAAGTTCAAGCATCATGATTAGAAGCTGAAGATGAGTAAGGGAAGAGTCTCAATTCTCCAATGCTTTATAATTCAAAGACTCCAACAAGCTACAGTTAACTGCAATGTAAATTAAAACTGGATGTGCTCTGTAAGAAACACACAGTGCAACTAGGGGATGGGGAAGGTGTACATTTCACCAAGGAAGTAGCAGTTAAGAAGGACCCTTCACACACACACACTGTCCTGAAGTCTCTCAACCCAGGGATTCTTCTCTATAACCCTCAGAACTAAGGTGTTTTATTCTTTTTTTCTCTTCTTATTCATTTAATAAGCACTTACTTGCCATGAGCCAGATACTATTTTCAGTGCTTTACAAATAACATCTCATAATAATCAGTAGATATTATTATCTTTATTTGCCAAACAAAGAAAGTTAAACAACTTGCCCAAGGTTATAAATAGCTCTTACATGGCCAAATTAAAATTTGAATCCAAAGTTGGATTGTGCAGAAGAGACTGAGGGGAGGGGAGGAGAGGGAGTGTGAGAATGGGAAGGACAGTGGAATGAGACAGACATTATTACCCTATATACATGTATAATTACACTACCAATGTGACTCTGCACCATGTACAGCCAGAGGACTGAGAAGTTGTGCTCCATTTGTGTAAAATGTGTCAAAATGCATTCTACTGTCATGTATAATTAATTAGAACAAATTAAAAATAAAAACTAAGAATTTGATTCAAAGTTTCAATACTCTAGAATCTGCCTCTATACCCCAAATTAATGTATAAGAAAGATGGTTTAAAGAGTAAAATAAGACCTGGGCACAGTGGCCTAGGCTTTTACTACCAGCTACACAGGAGTCTGAGGCAGGAGGATTTCAAGTGCAGGGCAAGGGTTGGGAACATATTGAGACCCTTTCTCAAAATATAAAGGGAGGGGCTGGGGTTGTGGCAGTGGTAGCGCACTTGCCTAGCATGTGTGAGGCCCTAGGTTCGATTCTCAGCACCACATATGAATAAATGACTAAAATAAAGGTTCGTCAACATCTAAAAAAAAATCTTTAAAAAAAAATATAAAGAGAGCTTATGTAGTTCAGTGGTGGAAGGAAGGAAGGAAGGAAGGAAGGAAGGAAGGAAGGAAGGAAGGAAGGAAGGAGAAAGAAAGAGAAAGAAAAAGAGAGAGAGAGAGAAAAGGAAAAAAGGGAATAAAAACAAAACAAAAAGAGGATGGTAAAAGAAAGGAGAGGAGAGGGGAGGAAAGGGGAAGGGGGGGCACCATGGAAGAATCAATGAGAAAGGAATAAAAAACACATTCAAACCTTGACTAAAACGCATCTATATTCCGTTGTAGCTGTTTCTCTGGGCTGCAATTCCTTCATTATAGCAATGAGGGAGCTATAATGCTACCAGTACTGAGGTTTCTCCAATTGCAAAAGACTATGGGTCATGCCAGGCAGAAGGTAAAGAGGGAGAAACGGTCAAGAAGAAAATAGCTTAATGTATGAAAGATGATATGTCTTGAGCTCTGTAATGTTTTGAACAATCAATAAAAAAAAAAAAAGAAGAAAATAGCTTTAAAAATGTAAAATGTGCTGCGTATGGTGGCACATGCCCATAATCCCAGCAACTCCAGAGGCAGATTGCAAATTCAAGGCCAGACTCAGCAACTTAATGAGGCCCTAAGCAACTTAGTGAGAACCTATTTCAAAATAAAAAATGAAAACCATTTTAAGATGGGATGAGATGTGGCTCAGTGGTTAAGCACCCTTAGGTTCATCCCCAATACGGAGGGGAAAAAATAATAAAAATGTAAAGCAAAGGGTGAGCTCAAGGGATAGAACTAATACTATGAGAGTGAGTTTTGGGAGAATATTAACTAAGCTACATCTAGATGCTTAGTAGACAAGAATTTCTTACTTATTAGCTATGTGGCTTGATGTAAATGACAATCTAACACTATCAAATTGGGCCTCCTTAGCCTTATGAGTGGAGAGCTATAATTTGGAAGGGCCCTCCCAAATTCTTTAATACTACCATTCAAAACAACGCATAGAGCCTCACTTCAATCCAAATTGGAAGGGGAGGTGGATAGCAATATGTATTTCAGACAGAAGAATTCCTTTAAAGACAAAAATGTTGTGACTGATTATAGCATTGCCTCATTGTTTCAGAATTAAACAAATTTATAAATTTCTGAAAGTTCTCTGAGGTAGATAGGGAAATCACTAACTTCACAATACCACAATAATGCTATAAATAACTCAGAATCCAAATTGAATTCTGCCTTCAGTAACTTATATTTGCTATATCTTAGAAGAGATATTACAAGAAGCTAAAATAATAATACCTACTGGCCTTACCCATGAAAACAGTCCTTATTCTTTCTTACCAATCTTCCTTCCCCAAGTCTCTGCAAAGATTGAAAACCTGATTTATAAAGGGAGTCACAATGCCACTAGAAGTAAAATCATCTCCTTGGCCAGGTGAGCTTGTACATGCCTATAATGCCAGCTACTCAGGAAGCTAAGGAGGGAAAATGGCAAGTTCAAGGCCAGCCAACAGACTCACTGAGA